GAGAGCACATGTTTCACCTGGTTTGTCATACTGAAGGTGAGTCCAAAAAATTTCAACTTAATTCAGACAATTCTAGGTTGGACCAAATGTCTATAATGTGTGATTTAGTTGCTAAACAGGGGCAGATTATTTTCAATTTCTTGTTGCATGCAGAATATCTGTCACATTTATCAACTGTAGTATATTTAGCCCTATGATTTGGGCTCTTTCCAATCCCCCCACACTAATAAACTGAATATACTTGCTTTTTTAAATGCATTTTTACTTCTGCTCTTAAAAGATAGCTATAGTTTTAATTTTAGAAGCCACATACTAATTGAATGTCATGAGAACCACACAAGAAGAAAAAGCTTATATGGTCTTCATAACTTTCACCAGGGTATCAGCCATATGGATCAGCTTATAAATCCTTACCAAGGTTTTCTTTGTCTCTTCTTCTCTATTGAGTTGAATTTTCACTCACAGTGTGTTGAAAGGCACTATGGAGTCATGTCACATTAAAATGATTACAAACTGAGGATGTTATAGACCAATGGTGATACTCTCTATAGTGGATTAAATTGTGTTACTTGGTTTCCTGCAATATTGAAACTTTGATAGGGAAGTGAAAAAAATAAGATCAAGTACTTAATGGAGATGGCAGTGCATATTTATTTTCTAAGGAATCTGTAATTCAAACTCTTCACTGGCATCTGGAAATCACTGAGATAACATCATTAATTTCCATTAATGTAAGAGTTAGTAGAAGCAGACCTTAGTAGGAAAAGCCAGGCCAGGGCAAGTTTTATTTGCCTATTCCACAGACAACAGCTCTTTATCATGGTTTTGCAGGCATAGAAATGACAAAAGCCTGAAGAAATTCTTAGGTCACCTATTGAAAAGTTACTAAGAAATTGGACCACACATGTTTCCTCTATATTCTTACTGTACACAGCACACTGGCATTCTTGAGAATTCAATACTTAATTTAGATAAATACACCCTAAGTTTGCTATAGTTGAATTTTTTTTCAAATATAGGAAAAGTTGCACTCCAAAAGGAAATGCTTGAGAATTTCGAATCTGTTTAAAAGTGAAATTTTAAAGAAATCATTCTACATTCAGAAGTTAACTTTATTAAAAGGCTGTCACCTCAAATGGCCAACATTTTTTACAATATCAAATTCGCCATTTTCTCAATGTTTATCAGAAATTTTAACACAAATTGAAATGATAAACTACAAAAGACATGTGAATTTGGTGGGGGTAGGATGGAGTTTGAACTCAGGACTTCACACTTACAAAGCAGGCACTCTACTGCTTGAGCCACCACACCTCCAGTCCATTTTGCTCTGAGTTAATTTGGAGATAGGGTCTCACAAACTATCTGCACCAGGTGGCCTCATACCGCAGTACTCCCTATCTCAGCCTCCCAATTAGCTAGGACTACAGGCATGAGCCACCAGGCACCTGATGTAAATACAATTTTTGACAGGAAAACTGAGTACTGACTAGATACAGGGTTACAAGAAATGGTGCAGAAAGGTTCAGTCATCATAAGACATTATAAACATTTCCATCTAATCTATTTCTGAGCTTTTTTATATTATAACCTGCAACAGCTGGGGATCTCTTTTGAACTTTAGGATCCTATAGGCATATCCTATAGCACTTTATAATAACCAGTTCATAATTCCCCTTTATCAAAAGAAAGCAGCACCTCTGGGATGAGGCAGGGCTATGAGAAGAAAAACAGAAGACTTTCTTCATCCAGCCCCATGACTCCACCCCACCCCAAATTGCTTTGTGCCCACTCTGGTACATTAGCAGATCCCTAAGGAAATCCTAGGCCTGAGGAGCTTTTATAAATCACTTAAACTTGGCAGCTATATAACTGAACAAATGGTAACTTCAGGCTATAAGCTCTCAAGGAAATGGAAACCTCCCCTGACTTTCACTCATACATTCATTCCATGCAAATAAATTGAGCACTACTCTGTGTCCCATTTTGTGTTAAGCACTGAGAATATCATTAAGAGTAAAGGCCTATACCCCCTCCTTTCAAATAACTTCATTATAGAACATTCCTGTTTCCACGTAAAAACCACGTACCAGTGATTCCTTGACTACCTTACTGCCTGCCCCTGAAGATCTCCTAGCTGAACTCCTTCATAAAGACATGGTGGCCAAAGTTCATGGACTTTGTCTCTTCCCCAGTTCTGGCTCCAATTTGGGGACAATTTCTGCATTGGCATGGGTGACTCATGCATCACTCTAGCCTCTCAGTTCCTTAACACAGACATTCACACCTAGTCCACCTTGCCACCAACTCAAATGGTCATATCCCAGACCTAATCATGTGGAACTGGGCCACTTTGAAATAATGCTCCCTGATACTTAACTTCTTGGCCTTCAGGTCCTTCACTATCTCTTCTACCTCCCCTGAACACTTTGCCTCTTAATCCCTCTACTTCCTAATTAAAGATTCCTCCTAAATTCATAGCTTCTCCTGCCCATTGTGAACTTGACAGCCAGCATTCCAACCACTCTCAAATCTTCACTTCCCTTGCCCAGCAGTCATCTGCCTATTCTGGGACAGAGCATTCAGCTTCTGATTCCTGCATGTACATGGAGAAATACTGAGCCCCTGCAGATTGGCACTACTGTAAAACACTCAACTCACTCTGCATTCCATAATGTTGGTTTTCAATGTAGCCCTCTCTCTTTCTCTCTATAAGCCCAGCCTCAAGTTTATCACCTCCTACTGTTAAAGGGGTCTCCTCTAACTCCACATAAACCACAGATGGGCATCACTCACCTTCATTACCAAGATTCTTAGTTGCCTAGATTTGCATGCACATCCTTCCCTATGCTCCACCCACTAAAGTAGGAAATAGGTATCTCTTCCCTCTCTGGCCCTGGATCACCTGCCCATGTCTTGAATATTTTATCATCTCCTCTTGAGCTAACAATTTTAATTTCACTGTCTTCTTCCCTCATTCTTATAAATATACTCAAGTATCTCATTAACTCCTCAGGCCCCTCCAGATAGTTACCACCCCTCCTCCCTCCCTTTCCCAACTAAAATTCCTCCAAGATTGGTCCATACCAACCATCTCTACATTCCCACTCTCTATTCATTCGATTTTAAGCTCACTACAGTACCTCCACCAAGCCTCTAAAATCTCACCAAAGTTATTAAGAACCTCTCTGTTGCTAAATCCAATGGGCAGCATCTCCAATTTCAACCTGATGTTCCAGTAACATCACACCATAGTGACAGGTCCCTTCCTTCGTCCCATGCAGTCATACTACAACCTCTTGGGAATTTCCTTCTCCCCTACTAACCATTCCTTTGTAGGCTGTCCATCCTCTGTCCCAAATAATGGTTTTATTTCCTCTCTGTCTCTATTCTCCCTGAGCCATCTCATCCCCTCCATAGTTGGTTACAAGCAGTATCTACTTGATGATTCCTAAATATCATAGCCATGTTTCTCCTGAGTACCAGAGCTTCATACCAACTCAGCCAGTCAAATCCAACATGCATGGGGCAGCCCAAGCCAAGAACCTACATGTCTTCTTTGAGTCTGCTTCATACCAAATAAATCACTAAGGCCTAGCAAACCCACCTCCTAAATATCTCTAAATACTTTCCACTTATTTCCATTCCTACTTTGCTAACTCAGGCCACCATATTGTTGGCTTAGGCTTCTGCAACAGGCTTCTTTCCTGTCACCAGCACAATCCCTCAACCCATGCTTTATTTCATAGCCAGAATGATTTTTCTAAATGAAAATCTGATCATGTCATCCTCTTGCCAAAATCTCTTGAATGGCTCCCCATTGACCTCTAAATTCTTTAACTTGGGTTGAAAAAGCCTTTCACAATCTGCCTCCTGCTTCTCTCTCCAGCCTAGTATTTCACAATAGCCCTCCTTGGAATTCTGTGCTTTAGTCATGCAGAAGTATTTCCAGTTCCTGAGTGCATCACACTTTCTTTTTTTTTAGATGTGGTAAATTTATTTGTCTCCTCACTAGAGCTGATTCAATTTGCATCACACTTTCTTTGGGCTCCAGGCCTCAGAACTTAGTCTTCCTTCTGACTAGAACATTCTTCCTCTACTTACCCTTCTAGGCTCACCTAGTTTATATCACCTGATCAAGCAAACTCTTCTGACTCTCACCACACATAGCTAGCCCTTCACATAGTACCCCATTCTTCCACTGTCACAGAACTAAATACATGACATTGAAATTGTCTCTTTCAGTGCTCCTCAGTGCCTCAACCTGAAAACAGAGACAGTATCACTTTATGCTTTTACCGACTGTGGACATTCTTGATGACCTTTGCCTGAGTCTCCAGCTCTTATACATACCCTGTGCATACCTCATTAGACTGTAGTTTCCTTATGGTCAGGGGCTATGCTTGTCTATTTCATGGACAAATCATCAACTCATATAGACACTCAAACAATATTAGACCAAAATTCATTTTATTGATAACAGACCTGCATAACACTTCAGGATATTCCCATAGATATATGATTTTAAAAAAAGAAAATCCAGTCATCTTTCCTCTATCACAGCATTCATTTGAACTTAGCATTCAAAAAAATAAACCACACACATCACACACACATCTGTGAACTTGGTTTTGATAAGACAGTCATAATCTTCTAATACTAAATACCTTTTGTAAAAAGAAGCAAAGATAGAATGGGGAAATAACTCAAGTTTTGTAAACATAATTATGGATGTCAGTGCCATTCATTGGGAAACAAAAATTATCATTATTTTATCAATTTAACATCAGTAATTAAAGAATACTCACAGGGATAATTCTAATATGACAAAACAGCATAAATAGATACTAGACCCAAGATAATTTAAAGACTGAATTCTGTGTTGCTCTAATAAGACTTATATAAGCTATTCTACCCTTGTTCAAGTAAAAATCCCCTCAATCCACTTTTTCTAAGCAAAGAAAAAATATGAAGATCTTCAAGTATTGGTTAATACTTACAGCAAAGAGCCTTCTGTAGTCTTCGGAGCTTCATGGCAGTCCTATAAGCTGAGAACCTGACATTGTTCAGGTCAGCTGAAAGAGGGAAAGAAAGGTCATTTGTCATTGCATTAGAAAGCACAGACAAAAACCCCCAATGATTTCCCAATACAAAAATAGGCTATAAAAAAATCTTGTGTCTATGTTTCCAAGCTTTGGGAGGTGAAATTCTGTTGATTTGAGGGGAAGAAAAAAAATAATCCTTTTGGCCTTTGACAATCAGGAAAGCTAAATTCTGTGAGAGACTACAGCAGCAGAGCCTGCAGGCATTCATGTAGTCCTTGTTCCCAAGAAGGAAAAGGAGGCCAGGTACTGTTTTCTTTTTAGACTGTGATCTGGATCTACTGTAGTGAGTCTTTGCTCCACAAGATGAATGAGAACAAGGAATACATTACTGAAATAGCTATAAGAAATTAGCAAGCAATCAAATACCAGTATTACAACAACTTGTTCTGGTTACAAAAGGTATACGTGTTTATTGTGGAAAATGTAGAAATTAAAGGAAAATATAAAATTAAGTAAACAAATCACCAATAATCCCATAACTGAAAGATATGTACTATTAACACTGTGAACTTTTTTTTTTTTTAAGACAGAGTCTTGCTATGTAGCCTGGGCTGGCCTTGAACTTACTATATAGCCTAGACTGGTCTTGACCTTACTATATAGCACAGGCTGTCCATGAACTAAAAATTTTCCTTCCTCTGCCTCCTGAGTACATATTTCAGCATATTTTTACATGGGGGTGTATGTGTGTTAAAATACAGTTGGGACTAAAATCAACTTAAAATTTTCCTTATTTTTATAAAATTGATAACATTGTATATATTTATCATGCACAAATGATGTTTTGAGATGTACGTATACATAAAGGAATGCTTAAGTCTTGCTAATTAAAGTGTATTACATCCACAGCTATCATTTTTATAGTAAGAATACTTAACATCCATTCTCTTAGTATTTTCAAGAATACAATACATCATCATTAGCTACAGTTACCAGACTATAGAATAGATTTCTTGAACTTATTCTGCTTATTGTAATTTTGCATTATTGGTCAACAACTACCATTATACTCTAAGGTATAATTCTAATATTCACCACAGAGCAACAACTAAATAATTTATTCTACTGTTTTCTACAGTCATTTGTCTATCAAGCCTCAATGCTAGTCATCTAGTACAAAGCTATATTCAGATACAGTCTGCACAAGCTTTGATATACACATGACTACATTGCTTTTCTAGTGTTTCTATGTATGTCTGTTTCAGAAACCCAGCTCCAAAAAGCTCCTTGTACATAAGAACCTTGCCACCTACTTCTGTCCTATTTCCCAGCTACTTAATATATAACTGCTCTCTGAAAAAGTAGTTTCAATACAGCGAGGGACTGACAGATTGAATGAACAAAAAAATGAAGAAAATTTAATGACAAATAATCAAATGGCACTCATACATGGTGAGACCAATTCTAATGAGGTATTAGGAAAGGGCAATAGTTTAATCCATATCCAAGTCACTTGGGTCAACATTATTAGCTTTATGGCTTTTGCAGACACAATATGTAAAATCCTGAATTTAAATCAGGGAGGAGAAAACAATGTCTATCATTTATTTTAAACCAGTCAGCATTAATTTTTTTAAGTGGCAATATCAAATAATGGCAAGGATATGGAACACAAACGTTGCTGGTAGGAATGCAAAACAGTATAACTTCAGAAACTCAGTTTAGCAGTTTCTCATAAAATCAAATATACATTTATCTTATGATTCAAATATTCTATTCCTAAATATTTAAACAAAAGAAATCAAAAGACATGTTCGCAAAAGATGTATGCATGGAGATCCACAAAAGCTTTATTCATACTAGCCCAAAACTAGAAACAAACCAATAGGGTAGTGGATAAACAAATTATGGTAGTCATACAATGAAAAGGAACTAACTATTGATAATGCAACAATATAAATCAATCTGAAAAACACTAACCTGGATATTCCATTTATATGAAATTTTAGAAAAAGCAAACTCATAGGACAGATAATACATAGCCTGGGGTGAGGTAGGGGTGGGTAACCAAACATAACAGAACACAAGGGTATTTTCTAGGTGACTGAAATAGGTATTTTGATTGGTGAGTGGTTGCATGAGTGTACGCATTTGTCAAAACTCAAACTATATCCTTAAAATAGAAGCATTTTATGGTGCTTAAATTATGCTTTAATAAAGTAAATTCTAAAAGTTTAAACAGTTGTCTTAATCAGGAATGCATACACCAGGGATAGTTGGCTAGTAATTAATCAAAAAGCCTCACTCCAGAAATGGCCACTATAAGTACTTCAGTTATATTTAGCCATTACACCAGGGGTTTCATTAATTATCCTAATTAATGTTAAAGGAGCTTGTGTTGGTGACGTTAGTAGTCAGCAAAATATGAAGATTTTTGAAAACATTCACCGACTTTATGTTAACAGGGTTTAAGAGGAATGTAGCAGGTCATACAGTTTTAGACATTGAGCCCGAGGCTGGATTCCAAACAGTTCAACTCAGCCTCAATGGATTCCCAGTTGCCTGAATTCAATAAAATGATTGACAGAATCCTTGTTGTGAGATCAATCGTTCTCAAACTTAAGTATACATATAAATCACCAGAAAGAACAGTTCCAAAATACAAATATCCTAGGCCCCAATCTCAGATTTCCTGATTCAGTAGGTCTGGGAAAGGCTTGAGAATCTGCACTTCTAACAAGTTTCCAGGTAAGCTGATGCTACTGGTCCAAGGACCACATTTTGAAAACCACTGTGGTGATGAAAGTCTGGCCCGCTGTGAACCACTAAAACAGGCAGAGATGTAATTTCATTATGCCTCTGGTATTATAGGCTTTAAGATTATTATGTGCCCACTGGCTAATAAATGTTTGTATGTGACAGAGCTTATTCTGAGACCGGCAGCCCTTAGCTACTTCCAGCTTGTCCTTCATTCTCTCTGCAATAGTCGGGGATCTTCCTTTGTCTCTTTTCCCCAGTCATCATTGCTCAACTTTCTGGGTGCTTTCAATTGACTCATGGTAAGAGTTGTCTTCTGGCATTAATCCACACACACACACAAAAAAAAAACCCATTCCTTTCCTCCCCTCCATAGGGATGTAACACCATTCACCAGTACAATCAGACTTTCCCTATCTTGCTAGCATGGCATTCTTTCACACACATTCATAACTAAGTCCCTTAGGTGCTCTATAAAATAAGCAATGTAGACACCCAGAAATGCACTTTTGGTCAAATACAGATCAATTTTCTCTTAACAAGAGCTGACAGCAGTTTCTAAGATATGAGCTTCTAACCCCAATTTTCTTATTCATTTGCTTACACAAAAGTGTTGAGTATGAGCTATGTGCCAACCAAACATCTTGGTAGAAGATACTGGCTCAGGGTTTCTCTTCTTTTCCCTTTCTTTCTAATCCTCCTTTTCAACTGTGTCTTAACTTACTGCCATAGTTTCCTCCTATCTTCCTTCTTTTGTACAAACAAGGACCCTCTCTTATGACCCCAATTCACCTCCCCTTTCAAATTTTCCTGATTCTATTCAGAATTCAGAACAAATGGTCCAAATGAGGTCAGATACTCCATCCAACTCTCACAGTTAGAATCAAAAATTGGCAAATTCCAGGAACTAGAGATCCAAATGGGAGAGTCAAGGATGCTCTGATTCGTTCAGGGCATGAATCACTGTGGAACAGTATCAAGAGACAAGCATCTGGGATATTCCTGCTCTAGCAGTGCTCTCAGCTTCCCTAAAGCAGTTCAAACTTTCTTCTCCTCCAAATCCTTCTAATTATGACACATTCTGCCTCTAAAATCCTCCTTGACACCCTTATATCCAACACACTGCAAAGAACAAACTTCCTGCCATCACTTTTCTAAGCACCATAGTCCATCCTGTTTGCATTGTTTGAGTCTACAAGTGCTGCCAGGAATCTGTACCAACCCCATCCCCCCTTGTCAGGCTTCTGGGTTATAGCTGTAAGAGATATGTCTGGTTGTGAAAGTATGTAGGATGCACACAGAAATTTTATGATGGGATACAGCTGCAAACAATGTGATGCTGTCCTGGGCTGAAGCTTGAGATGACTGAGTAGAGAAAATATGCACACAGTTGAAGAATGCTAAGCCCCTCATTCCCATGTTGATGGGAAGCTGCCTTCCATTTTCCCCCGGAGCTGCCTTTCCAGAACTCATATCCAAGTGGTAATGAGCTCAATAGCTCTCACTGCCGGAACTCAAGAGAAGTAGAACTATCCAAGAAACAAGTTATACCATGTTTCCATGGCAGTGGGTAGAAAGCACACTTCAGAAGGATAAAAATGCTGATACTGTACATTCCTCTTACTAGCTTGTATTATTTTATTTGAGGCTGGTTCTAGCCTAGAAATATAGAAAATCAAGAAACACAAGGAACAAGGGCAAATATCAAGCCATCTGCCTTCTCAAGTTGAATAACCACCTACTGAAATGGTGGCCCATTCACTGACCTTTCATTCTGAAACAGAAAACAAGTAATAGGTTATTCTGCCCCTTTGTTTAGCCTATGAACTTCTCTTTGGTAAATATTTTTGCTTTATAGTTTTTGCTTTCACTCTGTGGTAGGTGGTAGTGGAAAGCAAGCATCCAAGGCATCAGAAAAGAACAACTGATCAAGTTCTGGTCACAAATTTACACAGGTTGGACATACTCTTGCAAAAAATAGTGGAAAGCAGCTTAGCATAGTAAAGTCATGGGAAAATATAGAAGATATTATAGAAAGAAAACACTAAGCTCCTTCATTTCAATTTTACAGCTGGTTTCTACCTTTTAATAATGCTGCCAAAGACATGTGCCAGTGGCTCACGCCTGTAATCCTAGCTACTTGGGAGGCTGAGATCAGGACTGTGGTTCAAGGCTAGTCCTAACAAGTAGTTCATGAGATCCTATCTTGAAAATACCAAACAGGGCTGGTAGAGTGGCTCAGGTGGTAGAGTGACTGCCTAACAAGCATGAGGCCCTGAGTTCAAACTCCAGTACCACCAAAAATAATAATACTGCCAAAATCCAGCCTCTATGACAGAACTGACATCTTTAATTTAAAACAAGCAGTGTTAGCCGGGTGCTGGTGGCTCATGTCTATAATCCTAGCTACTCAGGAGACATTAATCAGGAAGATCGCAGTTCGAAGCCAGCCCAGGCAAATAGTTTGTGAGACCCTATCTCAAAAAAACCCATCACAAAAAAGGGCTGGTAGCATGGCTGAAGATGGTGTTCCATCTTCACAGTACCACAAAAATAAATAAAAATAAAACAAGTAGTGTTTGAGTCCAGCTTTCCAATGGCTGTAGAGACTTAAAGTTTCAGTATGCTTATCTATTAAGTAGAAAGAATGATAATGATAATGACTTCATAAATTTAATGAGTGGAAAGTGTTGTATGGCTAAAGATTATTCCATCTCATAAATCAGTGTTGTGGTCTTTGTATTTTCCTACCAACTCTATTTCCCAGAAGAAATTTCATTCAAATATCCCAGGTAATCATGAGTGAAAAATAAAATTGAGAGGAAGTATGATATTTTTTGGCAGAGTTCCAAATTCAGTACTTGGCAATCAATGTACATTAAATTGCTACTATATGTCTATTTAAATAATTTCCCAAACTTTCCAAAGAAGACAAAACAAGGTAGCCCAACCCCCCCGCCATATTCCTCCTATTTTAGGCAAGCGGCAGACTTTAAAATATATCATTCCCCAGGCTCGTGCTTCCTAGAATGTTCTGATGACTTTTCACATAACAAATATTATTTTCACCAGTTCAAACTCATTAGACTGGACAAGAACCATGGGTCTTTAATAAGGCTTTAGATAAGCCAAGTAATAATCAAATCTGTCTTAAAAAGCAAATTAAGTGAAGATGTCTAGGCTACAGAATTAGAACTACAGGAAACTCTTGAAGGACAGACCAAGAATTCTAGAACACACCTTTCAAGAATTAGCAGAGAAGAGGAACATTAACACATCATACTTTGTCCTACAATTTTTTAGATATATTTGAGGTCTTTTAAAATCTGAACTCATTAAAACCTCATCATTGACATAAAGCTTTACATAAATGGGAAAAAATAAACCCATACATGGATGAATAGGAATTACGCATACATACTTGCAGAAAGCCCAGTCTATGAATTTATAATTACTGTGAGTTGCTTCCAGATGTGAAACACTATTACTCATTTGCTATCAGTGACTTTCCATAATCCTTCTAATAAAATAAGTATCAAGTGGGGGTACAAAATGTGGAAGACTTAGAATTGAGTTACAGGAAAAGAGGTTCTAAACAAACAAACAAAAAGATTAAGCAGTGCAACTATGAAATAAAAGCTAGCCAAATTCCTGGCTGTGGATTGTTCAAGGACTTTCTGGCTCCTTCCTCTTGCTTGGCCTTCCTCAGCACAATCTCACCACTTCTTAGCAACACTGTAATAGCAAAAGAGTTGAAATTCAAATGCTCATTGTTAGCTACTCTGGTAAAAGATTTGGAGAGAGAGCAGCTTCTGTAACAAACAGTCAATATAAATTTTTGGGGGGCATGGGGGGGGAGACTGTGCATCTTATGGACCATTTCTGGGTGCTGACCAGATAACAGAGTTGACTCACAGAGACACGGCTGTGCCATATTCCCATTACTCAGACTTCAAATCAAGAAGAAACTGAGCTCTATTTCCTAGAAAAAAATAATACACACATACACTCTAAGGATGATTATGGGCACATGGATGGCTTTTAAAAAGCTATAAAAGGAGTTTTACTTAAAGAGTTTTTATTAAACAGTTATTTCATAATATATTTATATATTTATTTGGTTTTGGTTTTTTAAGCCAGAGTCTTGCTATATAGCCAATGCTGGCCTCCAACTCACAATCCTCCTGGTGCAGCATCCTGAGTAGTGATATTACAGGGGTGTGCTATGACCCCCTATATAGTATATCTTTTAGCATAAAAATAATTTTTAAATAATATCACCAGTATTAGTTCAAATATGCTTACATATTTAAACTAATACTGATTATTTTTAAAACTCCAGGGATTTTATTTTACGTTTTATTTCATTTCATTTTTTGAGATAGGGTCTCTCTATGTTTCCCAGGCTGGCCTCAAACTCACAATCCTCCTACCTTAGCCTCCTGAGTGCTGGGATTATAAGCATCTGTAACCATATGCAGCTATATTACATTTTAATATAATAAAAATAATTTTAAAATATCATCAGTAAAGTGTTTATGTTATGTATTTAAAATAATAGATAAAACTGCTTTGTAGCATTTTACTGATTTTTTGAGACAGGGTCTTGCTATGTGACTCAGGTTAGCCTGGAACTCCCTATGTAGCCCAGACCAATCTAAAACTCATAATCCTCTTGCTTCAGCCTCTGTCTGAGTGCTAGGATTATAGTCACGCACCACCATGCCCTGCCACTCTGGATATTATACAGCTTTTTAAAAAGATTCATCTATCTACAATCCTTTTGTCAATCCTTTCTTCCATAGTTATCGAGCAAGTACTATGTGCCAAGAACCATGCCATGAATATGGCAAACACTGGTAACCCAAACAGGACTCTGTCCTCTTTGAGTCTGCAGTCTAGTGAAGGATAGTAATCAAATATTCATGTGCACTATAGGAAAAGAGTGAAGGAAATACATAGGAAGAGATGAGACTGTCCACATAGAGAAACATACGTTGGGCAGGCTTTTCTGAGAAAGTAAAGCTGACACAAAGACATAAAGGATGATGGGAGTGAGCCAGGTGGGCAGAGCACAGCAGGTAATAGTTCAGTATGTACTAAAATAGCTTTGAAGCAGAGAAGAACAAAGGCCATTAGGAATCCTAAAAAGGCCAATATTGCTGCAATCTCTAGAGTGAGCAGGAAGAGAGACCCCAGTAAGGTCTGACATGTATGCAGGGGAAAGCTTACGGCAGAGCCCTGCTCATCACGTTATGGATTTAGGGTCCTGAAATTTCTAGTTAAATACAACATATGGTACAGTTGGCTTATTTGTACTAGGGTGAATAGACAGGAATTACAAACAACATTTACCTCAAAGGAAAAAATTTAAACAGGAGAGGAGATGAGAATAGATCAGAGATCCTGTATCTTGGAGGCTTAGAATATGATCTGCTGGTAACCAGAGACCAGAAAAATCCCAAGCTAAATTAATGAAGAGGGGGCAGACAAGGATGTTAGGGCAGGAAGTGAGAGGGGCTAACAAGAAGCTTGCCAACTTAGGAAGCCAAGAAGTCCCAGAAATTAGTCAGTCCTGGTTCCTCTGAAAGCTAAAAATATGTGGCTTGAATAAAGTCTTCAGAACCCTCAACTTTACCTCCTACTTCACCCTATGCAGCCAAGCATCCTAGCCACCTACTGGTTGGCCCTGATAGAAGGCTGGAGGTGAAGCCCAGGAGAAACTATACTATACCACACAGTTGCATCAGGGGCAAAGACATTGAGGAATGAGAGAAGGCACTGAAAGCAGAAGGCCAAGAGCTAGGTCAGCACCCTGAAAAAAATAAATCTTTAACTTCCTTCCTACTCCTGGATTCCATATTTAATCTGTGATTGCCATTTTGTCTTCCATCAGCTTATTTAAAAAGCTCTTCTATCTAAGCAGGGTGTCATATGCCATCCCGAAAGAAGTAAAGTATCCAATAAAGTGTCCAGTCATTAAATTAGTTGGTCCTCAATTTCCAGGTTTTTGGTCATCCTTTCGTTTCGTTTTTATTTTGTTTTTCAGTGCTGGGAGTGGAACTCAGGGCAAATGCTCTACCACTGAGCCACATCCCCAACCCTGTTATCCACCATTCTCTTCATGCCCCAAGTATAACCACATCAAATCAACATGGTTTCTTTCTAGTCTTCCTCTTGACAAGTGACTTTATAGTCACACAAGCCACTCTCACTGTTAGCAAGAATGACACTGTTCTCTTTCTTTGACCCAAAACCTTCAGTTACTGCTCTCCTTGTTTTCTCAATCCTAACATGGGTAACTCACTTACTTACAGAACTATCAGAACTACATGAACTTAAAAGCTTACCCCAGACTTGTTCACTTCTAAACTTCTTTAATTAACCAATCTTACCACTCTAACCTCTGTAAGTGAGCATATCTTAGATTCTCCAAGGTAGAGCCAGTTTATTTAAATCTTACTCTGTATAATAGACATTAAAAATGACCAAATGTGACTTAATTTGTATACCTTTATAAGGCTTCCTATATAACCAAACTCACTGCATAAACATACTGGGTTTTTTTTTTTTTGGCAGTACTGGCTATTTAACTTCGGGCTTGCCACTTGCTAGGCAACCACTCTGAATTTTACAGTTCTTTCCCACAATTGAAGAATTGAAGAATTTGTGGAAAACTTCTTTAATAACTAAGATAAACAGTATATTTCCTCATCTACTTAATGCTAACTAGGCTCATTTTTCTCCCTTTC